TAATTTAAATTAAATTTACTTATAAAATTGGCTGAGATTTTAGAAAAGAAATTTTGAACAAGAAAATTATATCAATCAACATTTGTTGGAAATAAAAATGAATAAAATCAATCCTAATGAAAATTAGGATTAGCTAAATTTCTTTGAAATTTTAATAAAGATAGTAATGATAGATAGTAATGGAATAGTAATAGAAATTGTACATATTGTAAGAATATGTAATTTTCTTTTTTTCTGATGAAATCACAGGGAATATTACTTAAAATAATTCATTTTTATAATATATTATTCAGTATTTATTATTTAAACTAAAGTAAAAATATTAATTTACTCGATATAAATTTTATAAATTAATATATTTTAATTATAATACATTTTGATGATAATTAATAGTAATATCATTATAAAAAATTTGCATTAATTTAAAAAAAAAATGTGAAAATTTGTTCGCAATAATATATCATTAAAAATTCAATTCAGATATATGTTTTAAAATTTATTAAGAACCGATTATAATTCCTGTAATTAAACCCAATAGAAATTCTTTAGAATGCTAAAAAGTGTTTCGATATATTTCTCACATTTATTTTTAGATGGTATTATTTATTAGTTCTACTCGTATGCATCGTTATTCCGGTGGGAATACCCTGTTATTTCTGGAATGAACAATTTATAAATGCCTGGTACTCGAATTTATCAAGATATGTTTGGACTTTGAACGTAACATGGTTGGTAAATTCTGCTGCTCATATATGGGGCATGAAACCATATGACGTGTAAGAAATTATATTTATATATTTCCATTTCCTTAGAAGCATAACAATTACAATAATAACAATTACGTTATAATACTTATTTTAAGTTTAATTGATTTTTTCAAAATTTTAATTGAATATTACGTTTTCAATGATACGATATTGATAAAAATTCGACATTTTCATTGTTCCATGCTTTCTCTAACAATTATAAATATTACATTAAATTACATCTTATATAATACGGCCTATTTTTCACTTCAGTTTCTTTTTCATATGTCAAAATTATAATAAAATTGTAATAAAAGATTAAATAATATTTTAAAAATTTTATTCATAAATATAAAATAATTTATCTTTTTTATTTTCAATATATTTTCAATATATATTTTTTATTTTCAAATTATAATACATTGCGTTTATAAAATAAATTGAAGATTTAAATAGAGATAAAATATATAATAAATTCTTCATGAAAAGCAAATATTTATTCGTATCATATCCATATAAAAAATTTCAGTTGAATAAAAAGTAAAATTTCATGAATTTCATATAAAAGGAATATTCGACCTACCGAAAATCTAATTGTGTCCATCCTTGCTTGCGGTGAAGGATGGCACAATTATCACCATGTATTCCCGTGGGACTATAAAACCGCTGAACTTGGTGGCTATAAAACCAACTTTACCACCGCTTTCATCGATTTTTGTGCTTTATTGGGACAAGCATATGATTTAAAGACCGTCCCTGAAGAAATAATTGCGAAACGAATAGCAAGAACTGGAAGTGAATCGAGGTATCGATATTACCAATATTAATAATTTTTAAATTATAATAATTAATAATTGAAAACCTAGTTACTAATAATTATTTAAATAATAAATAGTTCATTAATATTTGCAATATAGTTTTTATGAATCATAAAAATATAGAAATTTTTAGTATTCGAAAAAATTCTTCCATTCATTCAAAATAATTAATAAATTTCTAATATTAAAAACTATATATAGAATATGACTACCGGAACAAAAATTAGAAAGGATATAAAAAACAAATATTTTAGGTATCTAAAATCAAAAGTTAAAAAAATTCATCTATTAGAATAAATAAATATTTGATCAAATAAATTCCTTTCTTTATCAATATTTGTAAAATAACTTTATCATCACTTGCATAATCTTTAAATCTAAATTTTAATTTATAGCTGCAACAAAAACGAAATCATTCATCATCATGAAGATATGAAGTGGGGCTGGGGCGACAAAGATATGAAACCTCACGAAATTGAAGAAACAAGAATTTTTAATAAAAAGGATTAATGGGTATTAAATATTTAAAACAATTAATATTTATTAAGAATATCATTAATAGTTTGTAATTTTTTTTTATACTTATATGAAGGATCAGGTAAAATTATTTAAATTGACCAATAAATACAATACAATATCTATTATTTCTTTGATTTCTGAGTTTTACTATCCTTACTATTTTTCGTATTTTTTCCAATAACATCCTTAATTATGACATTATATAATAAATATTATTTTGAATTTAAAAAATTTGAAATTAAAAAATAACATACATTATATATATATATATTTTTAATGGTAATGCAATATTAAGAATATTAATGAATATTTTTTATCATGATGCAAATTTTTTGATATACACATGTTTTTGGTAATGATTTAATTTATGAAGGAGATTGAAAAACGTATATTTTTTATATTTAAAAAATCTTTGCTTCTATAAGAAAATTACAAATACATAAAACTATGACATTCTTAATAGACCAATGCATAAATAAATGATTAGTATTTATAATTTTAAAAATAATTGCAACAAAATTTTTTAAAAAACAATATTTGCTATGCAATCAATGATAGATATAGTTCCTTATTATTTAGGATTATTATTTCTGACCATTAGAGATAATGGTCAGATACTTTGTATTTTTAAAATCTTTATGTTATATTTATAAATGTTATATTTATAAATAATCATGAATAATGTAAAATAGATATGTATAAGAACGAAAAAATATTAATACAAATTGATTATATTGTATCTTAGAATTCATAGTTATTCATTCATTTTGAAACGAAATACTCTGAAGATCGGAACGATTCATTAAGGATTACTGTATATATTTGTCGAATATTTGTTAAAAATTATAGAATTTTCATACTTAAACTTAGAAATATAAATTCCTATTGTTTCCTTATAGATCTCAGCAAAAATGTATAAGATTATCTGAAGGAATAAGATTAAAACAATGAATGGCCGTAAGCAAACCTGACATAAATTGAATAGAAATTTGTGAATATGAAAAGTTATTTTGTTAATTAATATAAAAAAACTTGATAAAACTGAAATCCACAAAAAATTAAAATATAATGAAATTATACAAACAAAATATAAAAATTTGATGGAATCTATATCAAAGCGCATAAAAAACAATTCAATATGGACGTGAAAGTGTATCTGTGTATTGACTATTAATGTAAATATGCAAAATATGAAAATTTTATGAATAAATGTTAGATAATAAATTTCAAATAAATTGTTGTCCATTTCTTTCTTAAATGAATTGCAAATTTATATAGTCGAGTACTTTTTTTGAAAGTTTGTTGTCCCAATATTTCGGTTAAAGCAACATTCTTTTTAATACAGTGTGAAAATATTTTAATTATTTTTTTGTGTGTTTATTTTCTTTTATTTATTTTAGCAAATTTATTTTACTCGAAGAATTTTTTTATTTATTATCGTATCGTATTTTAAAAAAAATTTCTGTTTCTTGTTGATCCAACCCCATTTAATTGAAAATTTATTATTGTTTTTTACTCCGCAGTTAACATAAAATTTATTTTTTGTAAACTAACTATGTATATTTTTAAGATATTTAAAAACATATAATTTTTTAAATATCTTAATATAACAAATACACGTTTATGCGAGATAATGACATTGTAGCAATATTATGAAAATTGGAATCTATATAAAATCTACATACATTTATTATTGCACGAACAAAATATAGGACTGATCTATAACTTTGAGACTGCATTATCATTTTAGTGCTACTTTTTATTCATTATTATATATATATATATATTTTCAAATATTTTATTCAGTGTAGAATAAGATTACAATATTTATAATGGTTAGGATTGAAATTATATTTTAATATGATTTCAAAGATAAAATAAGAACATTATTATTTTATTAGCGTAAACAATCTATTGATTTTTCAGATATTTCGAAAAATTATTATATTCGATTTAAATAATATTTTGCAAGTAGCTTTCTGTTAAACAAAGTGTACGTATGTACGAACAGATTTTTGAATGAATCGAAAGCAAAGACACAAAATTTTTGCGAATTTAACTATTGTAATATCTTTGTATTTTCCATATAATATTTCAGAAATTTTTTGAGATGCACGATCTTCCTCATCTTTTTATCTTATTATCGCTTTAATATAAAAATTATTACAACGTTAATAATGAATAAAACCTGACTTTATTATAGAAATTATAAATAAAATATAGATCAAAGTGAGAAACAAAATATAAAAATTTATTGATTTATTGACTAATTCTTGATTTGATTATATTTTATATATAATATAAATGATGTGAAATAATATAAAAAAATTGATTACTATGATAATTCTCAATTTATTATGCTATTAATAGTTATCGTTTTATCTTGAACATATGAATAAATTTTTATTATTAAAATTATTTATGCAATCACTCATTAATCAGCTTAATAATGGAATATTATAGAAATATTGTCTTTATTTCTCTTTTATATTATTTAAAAACTATAATTTTTTATTATTTGGTTTACGGACAATTAAGTATTTTACATAATAATGAAGTGACTTGAAATGCTACGAATCTATTCAAATTTTTAATACGAATTTTTAAAAAGAG